CGCCCCCATCCACATCAATGGGACCACAGTAGAGAAGGTGAAAACTTTCAAGTTCCTCGGCGTACACATCAATGACAATCTGAAATGGTCCACCCACACAGACAGTGTGGTGAAGAAGGCACAACAGCGTCTCTTCAACCTCAAGAGGCTAAAGAAATTTCACTTGGCCCATAAGACCCTCAAACTTTTACAGATGCACCATTGAGAGCAACCTGTCGGACTGCATCACCGCCTGGTACGGCAACTGCACCGCCCGCAACCGCAGGGCTCTCCAGAGGGTGATGTGGTCTTCCCAACGCATCACCGGGGGCACACTGCCTGCCCTCCAGGACGCCTACAGCACCCAATGTCACAGGAAGGCCAAAAAGGTTATCAAGGACATCAACCACTCGAGCCACGGCCTGTTCACCCCGCTATCATCCAGAACACGAGGTCAGTACAGGTGCATCAAAGCTGGGACCGAGAGACTGAAAAACAGCTTATATCTCAAGGCCATCAGACTGTTAAATAGCCATCACTAGCCGGCCTCCACCCAGTACCCTGCCCTGAACTTCGTCACTGTCACTAGCCAGCTACCACCTGGTTACTCAACCCTGCATCTTAGAGGCTGCTGCCCTATGTACATAGACATGGAATCACTGGTCACTTTATAATATTGACATACTGATTTACTCATTTCATATGTATGTACTGTATTCTACTGTATTCTAGTCAATGCCACTCCGACATTGCTCGTCCTAATATTGATATATCTCTTAATTCCAATATTTGACTTTTAGATGTGTGTATTGTTGTGAATTGTTAGATGCTACTGCACTGTTGGAGCTAGGAATACAAGCATTTCGCTACACCCGCAATAACATCAGCTATATATATATATGTGTATGTGAACAATAAAATTCAATTTTATTTTGTATTTTATTTGGATTCGGGACAAAAGCTCTCACGGGATAACTGACACATCCTAAATTGACTATCTGGTAAAGACTCTGCATCAAAACTCAGTAGTACAGACAGTGTCTTTTCTGTTTTATCACTCTCTCCACTGGGTCTGCGCCGCACCAAATTGCTGGTGCAAAAGTTCTCCCTGTCATCTCCTTCTTCTATGGTATTATGGCGGTCCGCAAACAAACGTTAGAGGTGCATGCCGCCACCTACTGGAGTGTGTAGTCAATCACAGCATACAGAAACAAACCTTAAGAAAAAGTAAACCCTCCTACCTAATCCTGCACTTCAAAAAAAAAAGAGCCCTACTAACTTCTAACATACCCTCCCCCATCCCCCAAATCCCTTCCACAATGCTTGACTTGGACTGAAATAGGCGCCGGTACTCATGTTGGATGCCGGAACTGTTTGTATGTAGGTGCAGAATCTCCACAATACTTTTGAGCTAATATTCTATAAAATGAACAGGAGCTCAAGCAGTAGAACATTTGTGGTGCCGGTTCTCAGCTCCGGTGAGCTCCTGCCAAAGTCAACTGGCGGCCTGCGGGCTGAATTTGACCCAAAGGTGGTTTTATTTGCACCCCAAGTTTTCTGCTTGTCTGCGCTGATGTCGCTGTGGGTGCAGCAGCTCACAAGGAAGATTCAGTTGGGGATGCGTCTGTCATCCGAGATGCCTTTGTCCAGCATTTTGCTGCACTCGGATAAAGACAAACAAATGCACAAACACCCCAATTCTCTCACTCCTAATTGAAGATAAGTACTTTTCCCCCCTTTTTGAGGTGCTGTAAATTCTGCTGTTGACTATACCAGAGGTGGGGCCAAGTCACTATTATTCGAGTCACAAGCAAGTCTCAAGTCACAAGGTCTGAGTCTCAAGTCGAGTCCCATGTAGAATGGGTCAAGACTCGAGTCAAGTCCAAGTCAAGCATTTTAAGAGCAAGTCAAGTCGAATCACAAGTTTAAGTGTCGAGTCAAGTAAAAAAAAAATTATACATTCAATGAGTTGTTCTTTGTCTATTTATTGATGCTAACAGACAGCCCTTTTTATTATTTTGTCTACAACACATTTTGATTAGCCTATGAAATTGTAAAATAGGGACCTTGTAGCAGTCGCAAGGGCATGATCAGCAGAAGGCAAGGCAGGTCTTGGTGATCCAATGGTGAAAGCTCCATAGCATGCAGAATTTACAAGTAGATTGACCAAATATACACAGGCAATAGCCCAAAAGAACTAGCCTCTGTATCAGGCTTAACCTTCTGATGAGCTTGTAAAGTAAACAGTTCATATTCTTGCTCGCCAAACAATTTTTGGAGCTGCATATTTCTTTATGACAATCCTCTCTTCCTATAATTTGACGTTTGCGCTGCACCTGATCCTATAGCTCTAGAGCGAATCAGCAATCTGTTCGCTAGCTCACCACCCGACCTGTGTTGATTGACAGTTTGCTGGTCCAATCAGAGTTCAGAGTGTGCGTTTCACTAGCCAATTTTTTTACAAGGGTGATGCTGCGGCTACTGTCTCTGTCTGCTTGTAGAGTAATCCACATAGACTGTGCCACAAAATGAGTGACAAAACATTACAAAACCTGTCCAGATAAATTAATGTAATCAGTTTCAAGTCAAAGTCGAGTCCCGAGTCTAGAGGCTCCAAGTCAAGTCTCAAGTTATTTTATTTTCTATCAAATCGAGTCTCAAGTTATCAAATTTGTGACTCTAGTCCACAACTCTGTTTAAGGTGCACTATGCAGGAATCGATCTGCCGTTTCCTGGTTGCAAAAATTTTAATAGTTCGACTAATTTCAGTTTCTGTGATAAAACAAGCAAGCATAGTGTAGAGAATCATTGTACCATCTAAACCGCTGTGAAATATATTTTCCATAACCCAAATTATTGTATTTTCAGCTTTTTGAAGCTGGTGTACAAAACCGAAAGTAAAATAAAAAACTAAACTAAACGGGAAGCATAGAAATAGCTCACATAGAACATGTATACCGCTTCTTAGACTTGCATTCAATGAGAATGAGAGATCTTTAACTCTCATTCCTATGCGAATTTTGTCAGGTCGTCGAAAAAGTTACATATTGCAGCTTTAAATAAATAAATATAGCTTAATATTATTTGTCCTTTCATATTAGACAACAAAAACAATAGTATATACAGTTTATATATTTTTATTATTAGTGCAGATTGCTCGTGTTGATAACATGTAAGTGGATTCATCTGTCCTTATCTCTTCAGCTTCCACAGCAAGTGTACATATGGATGCTTATTACCAGGAAGTTAGGACATATCAAATCACATATTATATTACACAAAGTGTGTTTTATTTGGAGGTGTTACCACACTTTTTCTGACACTGAAAAGTGAATATCAACAGACTATAACTTCCTGGTTTTAAGACTGAATAAGTACCATGCATATTGTCCACAGACAATATGCATGGTACTGTATCATATGCTGTTGTTTCAGGTTCTTTCCCCATAAAAGTATAAGCTCTCAAAACCCACAATATCAATGAATTGCCATAAGCTGTTAGTATCAATAAGTTGAATCCGACTTCGGAGCAACTTCGGAGTGTGCATTACAAGGTTTCATTCAATGCTGCTCTGAACTCTCACAAACAGCTTTAGGATTACATCAGCTAAAATAACACACATATACAATATGATTTACACAGAGAGCAAAGCATTTGTATATACAGATCATCGGAAATCATGGAAACAATTAGTAGGAAATCCAGGGGAATCCTTTCCATTGAGCTTTGTGCTGCATCCCAAATTATACCTTATTCCCTACATAGTGCATTACTTGGGCCCTGGTGAAAAGTAGTACACTATGTAGGGAATAGGGTGCCATTCGGGGCACAGCCTTAGTAAGTGTGGGGAACATTCAGCATATGGTTGGTCTGTACTGTCACAGCATACTGTGCAATGTATTGGTTAAGATTTAATACTGCGTAGGCCTTCTTTGTTTACATTTGGGGTTAATACCAGGTTTATATTGTGCGTTGTTTAGGTTTGTGGTTGATTGTGAGGAAGTATTCAGTCACTACTTCTATAAACTTGTCAAGGTGAGTCAGGTGCCATCTGTAATATAGCCTGACTGAATGCTGGGCTCAAGGTGAAACAAGCTATCTGTAAGGTACAGTAATAACGGCTGGAATAACGCTGCAGTGTAGTAAGTAGACATGTCTTCCTGAAAATCCTGCAACATGTGGATTAATGGCTGGACCAAATGAGTCACTGGAATCAATGGAGTGTGTTTCAAAGAGGCGGATACTAAGATGATCCCTCAGTATCGTACACAGGGTCATCTGGTACAGGCTTGACCTTGTTGGGAGAGACATCAACTGGGTCCCAATTGGCACCCTATTCCCTACATAGTGCACTACTTTTCACCAGAGACAGGCCCTGGTCAGAATTATTGCACTATGTAGGGCAGGGCTCGCCAACCTTGTTCCTGGAGAGCTACCGTCCTGTAGGTTTTCGCTCCATCCCTAATCTACCGCACCTAATTTTAATAGTTAGCTGTTTCATAAGCTGAATCAGGTTAGTTACAACTGGGTAGCTCTCCAGGAACAGGGTTGGAGAGCCCTGAGGTAGGGAATTGGGATGCATCAACAGTCTTTTCTACTGGTAACACAATGCTCATTAAATGGTGATTAAAGTATTACATCTAAATGGCCATTAAGAGCTATTTGACTGTAAAAAAAAAAAAGAAGAAAAAAAAAGAGGTATTGTAAAGCAGGACAACAGTGGCCTTGGTCCCAGATCTGGTGCAACAACACAAGTGTCAGTGAATAACAGAGTAATAACACAGACATCACAAATGCTCTCATGGAGAGTTCTTACAGGTATTTCACAACAAACACTGTTAAGTGTGTTTAATTTGAAAAATGTTTTATTTCTCTTTCATTTCGATGACTTAACTTTTTTTTTTTTTTATCATGGCAACTTTTTGTCACTACAATATATTGAATTTCATCAGTCGAAAACATTTAAAGGGACAGACAGGGTGTCATCCAGAAGGGGTTTGTTGTTAAATAGACAGACAGATTACTGCTGCTGAGGCGGCTTCCCTCTTCCCCTGCCTCCATAGAAGCCTTTGGTACTGTAGGGTCCATGGGGCAGACGCACCACCCTCAGCGGCAGAGCATGTCTCCGCAGCTGGCCCGGGGCCTCCAGGTGGAGTAGGGCCGCGCTTGCAGCCACCTTCCGGCGCTGCACCCAGGGGCAAGCAACCTTCTCCTGTGCATGGTCCCCAGAGCACCTGCTCCTTCCCACACCTCCAGACCTTGAGCCCTGGAGCTTAGACAGGACCAGGGGAATGCGGGACGCATGGCTGTCCAGGGAGGAGGGCCTATCCCAGTGTGATGTCTGGCCATGACCCTCCAGGCCCAGGGGGCTGTCCAGGTACTTATGGCGCTGGATCCTGCTGCATGTAGGCCTAGCTGGGGCTGAACCCAGGGTTGGGACTGTGGCCTGGGTCGGGGCTGGGTCAGACTCTAAGCTCTTCAGTAGTTCCGGATCCTTCATAGAGTTGTTTATGAAACATCTAGACAGGACTTGATCCTTAAGGGAGCTGTTGGTGAAACATCTAGATTTCACCTTGGGCTTTTTCTGGGACACCTTGGTCGCCTCGGGACCTCCAACCGGCTCGCGGTCCTCCTCACCCTCCTCCTCCGCTGCCTCATCCTGGTTGGTGGGGTGGGACGAGGAGGAGGGGGGGGAGCGCGTGCCAGGGCTGCCCAGGGGTGCGACACACACCTCGGCCCCCTCTGCTCTTCCTCTCTGCAGGGCTCGGTAGGCCAACCTGGCCCCCTCCAGGGTCTCAAACTCCACCACAGCACACGTCCTGATGACATGGAAAACAACAGTTGAGACATTTTGACATATTTTCCCACAGCACAATAGTTTTGCAGTGCATTTCTCTGTAATTATGTATATAAGACAGGCTAACCGCACCCCTGTCTGTCAGTCCTGTAAAACTACACTAACATGTCTCTAAAGTCAGAAGCAATGTTCAGAACTTCATAGAGGCTTCCCTAATAGAGGACAATATTGATGATCAATAGTCAACAAACGCTGTCTTTGGTTTTACCTGCTACCCAGCTCGGCGTGCCTCCTGGCATGGCGTCTCAGCTCCTTAGGAAGCTCTTTCCCAGGACGGAGGATACGGAGCGAGGCCACGGCAGCGTGGGCACTGAACAGCTTCAGAGCTTTCTCTAGGACTCCCTGCTGGTCCAAGCTGCTGAGGGTAGTGAAGCCACTTCCTGTGTTCTCACCAAACAGGTTCCAGGCTAGTAGCAGCTTGCTGTTGGGGGTGCTCAGCAGCCAATCAGGCAGAGGCTCTCTGCGCCTCACTTTGGTCCCTTCCCTGTTGACCTCCAGCGAATCAGAGCACAGCGCTCCGGCCAGGGTGGTGCGCCAGTCTCTCGTCAGCTCCTTCATCTGAGACACACAGGTATTTTACCAGGCAGGTCAATCAAGTACACATTATTATTTACATTGACGGCATATGAGGATGCAACGTTTTGGAACATTCAGATATACAGTGGCTTGAGAAAGTATTCAACCCCCTTGGCATTTTTCTTATTTTGTTGTCTTACAACCTGGAATTAAAAGGGATTTTTGGGGGGTTTGTATCATTTGATTTACACAACATGCCTACCACTTTGAAGATGCAAAATATTTTTTGGGGGTGAAACAAACGACAAAAAAATGAAAAACTTGAGCATGCATACATATTCAACCCCCCAAAGTCAATACTTTGTAGAGCCACCTTTTGCAGCAATTACAGCTCCAAGTCTCTTGGGGTATGTCTCTATAAGCTTGGCACTTCTAGCCACTGGGATTTTTGCCCATTCTTCAAGGCAAAACTGCTCCAGCTCCATCAAGTTGGATGTGTTCCACTGGTGTACAGCAATCTTTAAGTCATACCACAGATTCTCAATTGGATTGAGGTCTGGGTTTTGACTAGGCCATTCCAAGACATTTAAATGTTTCTCCTTAAACCACTCTAGTACTGCATTAGCAGTATGCTTAGGGTCATTGTCCTGCTGAAAGGTGAACCTCCGTCCCATCTCAAATCTCTGGAAGACTGAAACAGGTTTCCCTCAAGAATTTCCCTGTATTTAGCAACATCCATCATTCCTTCAATTCAAAACATGGGGATGGTGTTCTCGGGGTGATGAGAGGTGTTGGATTTGCGCCAGACATAGCGTCTTCCTTTAGTCTCATCTGACCAGAGTACCTTCTTCCATATGTTTGGGGAGTCTCCCACATGCCTTTTGGCGAACACCAAACGTCTTTGCTTATTTATTTCTTTAAACAATGGCTTTTTTCTGGCCACTCTTCCGTAAAGCCCAGTTCTGTGGAGTGTACGGCTTAAAGTGGTCCTATGGACAGATACTCCAATCTCCACTGTGGGGCTTTGCAGCGCCTTCAGGGTTATCTTTGGTCTCTTTGTTGCCTCTCGGATTAATGCCCTCCTTGCCTGGTTCGTGAGTTTTGGTGGGCGGCCCTCTCTTGGCAGGTTTGTTGTGGTGCCATATTCTTTCAATTTTTTAATAATGGATTTAATGGTACTCCGTGGGATGTTCAATGTTTCGGATATTTTTTTATACCCCAACCCTGATCTGTACTTCTCCACAACTTTGTCCCTGACCTGTTTGGAGAGCTCCTTGGTCTTCATGGTACTGCTTGCTTGGTGGTGCCCCTTGCTTAGTGGTGTTGCAGACTCTGGGACCTTTCAAAACAGGTGTATATATACTGAGATCATGTGACAGATCACGTGACACTTAGATTGCACACAGGTGGACTTTATTTAACTAATTATGTGACTTTTGAAGGTAATTGGTTGCACCAGATCTTATTTAGGGGCTTCATAGCAAAGTGGGTGAATACATATGCACGCACCACTTTTCCGTGATTTATTTTGTAGAATTTTTTGAAACAAGTTATTTTTTTAATTTCACTTCTCCAATTTGGACTATTTTGTGTATGTCCATTACATGAAATCCAAATAAAAATCCATTTAATTTACAGGTTGTAATGCAACAAAATAGGAAAAATGCCAAGGGGGGTGAAGACTTTTGTAAGGCACTGTTGTTACTATAGGAACAGGGTATATAGCGAGCTTAGTACCTGTAAATATGATATGTAGAACAAACATGCCTCACTGACATGTAGAATAAGGAATCACATTATCCTCCAAATCTACATGTCAGTGAGGCATGTTTGTTCTATTCATGGCATCTCTTCATGGCATTTCTATCTGCAGTGTTCAACGTTTGGCTACTAAATATGGCCCAGGTTTGGTTTGTTGAACATAGCGTACGTACAATAGGTTTGCTTTGGGTTGTGTGTTTTCAAACCATAACCAATATCCACATAGCCTGGTCCCAGATCTATTTGAGCTGTCTTGTCAACTCCTTTGGTCATTGTAGTTGGCAAGACAGCACAATATTTTTCTGACCAGGCTTATATAATGTTCACCAGCATAGTAAATTGGCTGTGAGGAATTCTTGAATTAGAAGTTTAAGAGTCATTGGAGTAAATGAACAGAGCGGCACGTCTTGCTCTTCATTGTAATCAGAGGGCTGATATAAATACTATGCATGCCAGTCTCTCTTTGCTAAGAGTTGATGAGAGACTGACTGTATCACTTATTCTTTTTATAAGAAACATTGTGTTGAAAATCCAAAATTGTTTGCATACTCAACTTACACACAGCTCTGACACACACACTTACCCATTTACATTACATTTTTACATTTTCGTCATTTAGCAGACGCTCTTATCCAGAGCGACTTACAAATTGGTGCATTCACCTTATGATAGCCAGTGGGACAACAACTTTACAATTGTTATTTTTATTTTATTTATTTTTTATTTTTTGGGGTGGGGTAAGGGGGGGTAGAAGGTTTACTTTATCCTATCCCAGGTATTCCTTAAAGAGGTGGGGTTCAAGTGTCTCCGGAAGGTGGTGAGTGACTCCGCTGTCCTGGCGTCGTGAGGGAGCTTGTTCCACCATTGGGGTGCCAGAGCAGCGAACAGTTTTGACTGGGCTGAGCGGGAACTGTGCTTCCGCAGAGGTAGGGGAGCCAGCAGGCCAGAGGTGGATGAACGCAATGCCCTCGTTTGAGTGTAGGGACTGATCAGAGCCTGAAGGTACGGAGGTGCCGTTCCCCTCACAGCTCCGTAGGCAAGTGGAGTGTGCGGAGGAGCGGGGTGACGTGAGAGAACTTGGGAAGGTTGAACACCAGACGGGCTGCGGCGTTCTGGATGAGTTGTAGGGGTTTAATGGCACAGGCAGGGAGCCCAGCCAACAGCGAGTTGCAGTAATCCAGACGGTAGATGACAAGTGCCTGGATTAGGACCTGTGCCGCTTCCTGTGTAAGGCAGGGTCATACTCTGTGAATGTTGTAGAGCATACAGGATCGGGTCACCGCCTTGATGTTAGCGGAGAACGACAGAGTGTTGTCCAGGGTCACGCCAAGGCTCTTTGCACTCTGGGAGGAGGACACAACGGAGTTGTCAACCCCACCCCACCAGACATGCTACCAGGGGTCTTCTCACAGTCCCCAAATCCAGAACAAATTCAAGAAAGCGTACAGTATTATATAGAGCCATTATTGCTTGGAACTCCGTTCCATCTCATATTGCTCAAATAAACAGCAAACCTGGTTTCAAAAAAGAGATAAAGCAACACCTCACGGCACAATGCCTCTCCTTTATTTGACCTAGATAGTTTGTGTGTATGTATTGATATGTAGGCTACGTGTGACTTTTGAAAATATTTTAATTTTAATGTAGTTCTGTCCTTGAACTGTTGTCTATTAATGTTCTGTATTATGTCATGTTTCATGTTTTGTGAGGACCCCAGGAAGAGTAGCTGCTGCTTTTGCAACAGCTAATGGGGATCCTAATAAAATACCAAATACCAAATGAGGGAACCATCTTGATCTCATAACGCTGGCATTACCTTTTTGAAGGAGGTGAGCAGCTTGAGGCTGACGTATCCCATCCTGTTCCTCTGGACATGTTTGAGCAGGAAGCCGTCCTCTGCCAGGTGTTCATTGGACAGGTAGCACTCCAACTGGGACACGATCTGCCTGCTCAGGTCACATGACCCTGATGTCACGCCGCAGGCCTCCGCCGATTGGCTAGCACGTTTAGTGAAGAGCCTATGGGACAATCAGCTTCTCTTAGCATCTCAATATAAAACACAAATCAAAAAGGCATTATTTCTATATGAATTGACATTCTGATTCTCTACAGACCTATGCAATATAAATCAACAAGGTACAATGTTTTCTATGTGAGTTGATCATCTGAAATCTTACCCATCCTGGCAACTCAGTGTGTCGCCTTTAGAGAGGGCAGTTGGAGACATGGGTATGTCTGGGTAGCGTCCTGGGGTGAAAGGGCTTTGCCTTGGGTTCTCCGAAACACAGGCTGCTGAGGACATGCTGCCTGCGAGGGAGAGCAGCAAGCCAGGTCGAGGGCAGGGGAGATTCTTCTGAATGTGAAGCCACAGAACATCTACACAGGGTTTAGTACCTTCTGGTCCATTGTGACATGTTTGAGTTCTGTGATTCCGTACTTCCAATCATCAGCAATCTAGAGCTTAGAGTAATGGGTGATCCTACAGCTGGTGATGCAACAATGCAACATTCTATGGCCATCTTACATCTTCTTTTCCCCCTTTGTTCAGGTAATTCATGTAATGGCACATTTACAGAAATATTGAGCATTGACACCATAGAAATAAGAATGAATAGAACAGGTGTCCCCATTCAAGTAAATGATGGCATAATGGGTGGCGGCCATTGCGAGTGTACCCATAAGAGCAAAGCAGGAAGTAAAGGCAGGAAGTAAAAGCAGGAAGTGTGCACATCAATCTGTGCTGTGATTTGTTGAATCAACTCAAATGACATTACGAGCCACATCAGTTAGCATAATTTGAATGAACATTCTACATTACCATGGAAATTATTACATCACAATACCAGGAAGCCATTGTGAGTGTACCCATGAGTTTACCAGTCAAATTGCCAGGGTTAGAGTTTCCAAGCCCATTCTATTCATTCTTATTTCTATGATTGACCCTATCAAATAAATATAATAAAGTAAAGTATAGTTATTGTGGTAAGAAAATCCATAGCTATAAAGGCACTTTCCTGTGAAATGTGAGTCATATTTGACACAGGAACAACAGGGCAATAGATACAGTGCCTTCAGAAAGTATTCACACACCTTTTTCCACATTTTGTTGTGTTACAGCCTGAATTTAAAATGGATAAAATTGAGATTTTATGTCACTGGCCTACGCACAATACAACATAATGTCAAAGTGGAATTATGTTTTTAGAAATGTTTACAAAATAATAAAAAATGAACAGCTGAAATGTCTTGACTATTCAACCCCTTTGTTATGGCAAGCCTAAATAAGTTCAGGAGTAAAAACATATTTTCACTTTGTCATTATGGGGTATTGTGTGTAGATGGGTGACAAAAAAAATCTATTCAATCCATTTTGAATTGAGGCTGTAACATACGAAAATGTGGAACAAGTCAAGGGGTATGAATACTTTTTTAAGAACCTGTATTTACTTAATTAATCTGAGAGGGAGAAAAAAATATCACAAACACGGAATATGTAAAAAAAATATATATATGTATATATATTCAACTTTATTAACATCAATTAGTTTTTTTTCCAGCAACATCTTTTTTTAAATTCTAGGTCTTTATCAACAAATAGAAAACAGACTGTGTATACAACAGTCCCTGAAAATGGAACTTCCCCAACCCCTTGTCGTTCAGGTTGCTATGGTAGTACAGTAGATATAATGGTATAATACAGATTCTCTCTTTCCTTCTCTTTACTTTCTTCTGAGTCGGTACAACAAGAGAGTGGATCATTTTAACATTATAGTTTGAAGCTGTAGTATATATCTATGTATAATTGCACATACAGTACCAGTCAAAAGTTTGGACACATCTACTCATTCAAGGGTTTCTCTTTGCTGCATCAGATGACCTGGCCTCCACAATCCCCTGACCTCAACCAAATTGAGATGGTTTGGGATGGGTCGGACCGCGGAGTGAAGGAAACGCAGTCAACAAGTGCTCAGCATATGTGGGAACTCCTTTAAGACTGTTGGAAAAGCATTCCAGGTGAAGCTGGTTGAGAGAATGCCAAGAGTGTGCAAAGCTGTCATCAAGGCAAAGGGAGGCTATTTGAAGAATCTCAAATATAACATATATTTTGATTTGTTTAACACTTTTTTGGTTACTATATGATTCCACATCTGTTATTTCATAGTTTTGATGTCTTCACTATTATTCAACAATGTAAAAAATAGTAAAAATAAAGAAAACCCCTTGAATGAGTAGGTGTGTCCAAACCTTTGACTGGTGGTGTATATATAATCAATCGTAATTATATATATTTATAATTTCTATTTCTGTATAAAATAATAGCAGTTTGGTTGGAGGGTCCAGAGGCTTTATGTGTCTCTGTCTGTGTCCCTCCAGTAGGAATGGTAGTATTCTATACAGGGGGTCCAGTGTTAGTGGCCTGAGTCCCTATGGTCCAACCCCTAGGCAGAGACTATCCAACCCCTAGTCACTGAGACTATCCAATCATTGATAATCATCGCTGGGCACAATATGATTCATATAGAGAACTCCTGTTGGGTATAAAAGTCAGATTTATTCTCTGGTTAGCTTACTATATTGAAGGCCCAATGCCGTCTGTTGTTGAAATCATAATGTCTCTGAGTTTCTGTACAATGCCGATTTAGTTGTCGTTAGTTGATTTCAAGTTTTTTGCTAGCTACTGTGGTTTATATACGTAGTACCTCTATCACGGCGTTTGGTGTATGCTTTTGAATCTTTTAAAAAAAATAGTTTTTTAATAGTTTTTTCAAAGTTAACCCCACTTCATTTTAAAACGAATAAGACCGAAAAATACATGAGAATAATAAACAATAAAATGATGATACAAAGACAAACGGAGAACAAACAGTGGCTCTCCTGTATTAGTATCTAGCAACAAGTTAAAAAATGCAGGTCCCTTGTGCTAAAATAACCTAGAAAATACAAATAACTAAAATGGACTGATTATGGAAAAACAAAAATTAAGGTGCCAGATAGGCTATTACGACAAAATAAATGTCTGATGTTATTAAAATGATTATAAAAACTAAATAATAATAACATTATTCAAAATGATATTTCATAATAACAATAATAAAATAATAAAATATAATATAATCTATTAGTCCTACCAGTAGCCTTAGACAAAAGGGGAGGTTGGTTGGCGAATTTCAGAGCAGAGACCGGAACTCAGTCAGAACTGTCGCTCACGCCCATACGAAAAGTTGTCGTGATCATGGTATTGTTTGTTTTTAAAGCAATCTATTTAGGGTGTTTTTCATAAATCGGAGTAGTAGTAGACCTCTGTGATTGGTTGAATGTGAATGGTTGAACCTGTCGCTTGGTGACAGTGGCACCTCCCTCCTCCCTTGTGGTAGGGTAGCTGTGGCAGGGTCAGGTCAGGTGACGAGTCAGGTTGTTGGGTTGATACAGGTACGGTGGCTGAGATGGGACACTCAGTACCAGAGGCTGGTTACGTTGCATAGTGGTCAAAACTGCCCAGGTACTCCAGAGCTGCCCTGTAGCACAGCTGATACTGGTCCTAAAGAGAGAGAAAGAGGAATCATATCATATACAGTAGATGCAGTATCTATCATTTATAAGTTAGTATTACTCCTTGCAGCTTTGTTTTCATTGATTGTAACATATTTTCAACTGATTTCAACGTTTTACTATTGTGTGGAGGGCTGAGAGATAGTCATGGGTAAGCAATAGGGTGGTGTGGAGTAGTAGTTGGGGAACGTCACTCAATAAAGTCAAACTAACAACAACTACAACAACACCAACAGCCTGTACAGCAGGGGTGTCAAACTCATTTTTCTCCGGGGGCCGCATTCGGTCTTCAATGAGGTCCAGAGGGCCGCACGAAAAATGCGTTATCCTCACCTTCAAAATTTGCTCAAAATAGGCCTCTATCCATTGTTCTTGGAATTTCATTTGGTGATTATTAGCGTGCTGGACACAGTCAAGAAACTGTATGAATGTAGGTCCATTATCATTTCTATACAGTTTCGATTTGGTTTTAGTCATTTTAATGTACAGGTAACTGCCAAAATAAAGGAAACACCTACATAAAGTGTCTTAATAGCGCGCTGGGCCACCACGAGCCAGAACAGCTTCAATGCATCTTGGCATAGATTCTACAAGTGTCTGGAACTCTATTGGAGGGATGCGACACCATTCTTCCACGAGAAATTCCATAATTTTGTGTTTTGTTGATGGTGGTGGAAATCCTAGTCTGAGTACTGGTATCTTTAGCTAACTGTCCACTCCTTGCCACTCCTTATCATTGTCAAAGATAAGCGCTGGAAATAACATTAATATTTTCCATGACAACATAGAATTAACAAACAAATTATCAAAAACAAACATTTAGCTGTTATCTAGGCAAGTTATTGTATTTTGAGACGTCTTGTGGGTGGAATTGCAGTATGTATTTACTTTGAGAATTTAGACGTGACCTAGCAACTTTTGACGGACTGGTTTTGTCTGGACTATCAAAAAATGGTTGCTTAGCAACTGGTACCAACGTGTTCTGTGGAGAACAAAAGTTCCAATATTTGTTTAATCGTTGTGATTGGAGGATAGCTGTGAGTGTGATCGAATCAGGATCAAATCCTCTGTTCTCCTCGAGCTTATTAATGATAGAATGTTCATTTTTGAAGATGGAAGAAAGGCCAGTCTCTTTGGCACATGACATGGAGTACAGGGAGTGGATTAGCTAATGAGACTGGTACCCAGGCTAGGAAAACGCTGTCTCAGGTGTCACTCCAGAATCTCCCATAAATGTTCAATTGCGTTGAGATCTGGTGACTGAGACGGCCATGGCATATGGTTTACATCAGCGGTTCCCAAACTAGGGGTCGTGACCCCACGTGGGGTCACCTGAAATGAAAATGGGGTCGCGGGACAATTTCCAAAAACCTGGTAAAAATAAATAAATAATAATAATAATATAATAATAATATCGTCTATGTCTCTTAAAATCATTGTAATGTGGTTAACCTTAAAAATTGAAATGAAAATTATTGAAATCAAAATGTAAAAATTCAACCAGAGAGCGCCCTTAGATCTTGGGAAAAGGCCGCACTTGACCGTTGGACTTGAATCATTCCCACGGTGAATGGCTAAGCCCGCTACGCTATAAAACCACACACTATTGCAGAGACAATTGATATGGTGAAAACAATGTGTGGGGAGGCAGAGGCACTGAAACTCACATCAATAGCTTTGTCAGATAACACTGTGAAACTAAGAATTGATGCTATAGCTAGCAATCAAGAGGACACTGACTGAACGACTCAAACTCCCCACCTTATGCTCTTCAAATGGACGTTAGCTGTGAGGGCCGAGATGCATTGACTTTTGTTCGCTACATGTCGGGGGATGCTATTCACAAGGACATATGTGAACCGTTTCAGGAAGCTAGGCATATGTCGCACATCACTACTTCACAGGGAGGCATTTTAAGGTTTATTTTATTTTTATCAAAATGCACTTTTTGGCAGAAATACCTTCTGGAACATGTGAACTTTCATGTGCCTTAATAACTAATATGTATTCAATCTGTAAATATGAATACAATTGTTAAATTACGAGCCTAGTTGGTTTACCCACGGAAGAAGATCCGTAACCTTCCCGCTAGCCATGATTAGCTGAGATAATGGATGGGCTGGACATGCCGGGAGATGAGTTTGGATTGGTCTGCCATGTAGCATGCTTCTGTCTATAATATGAGCTGCTCAGGATGTGTTGATAGTCCTTTCTACCACAGTGTTTTTGAAATATATAATGTTAGCCATCGAGAACTACAAATGTTTTGGTACTTTTGTCAAGAACTTTGATGCCCTGAATTTAGCAGGCGCTATCAACAGATCAGTTGGAAAACGTTGTGATGAGCTACTTTCTGCAAACGCCATAGTCAGTGTGAAGCAGAGTGACTTGACACAACGCTGGATAAACAAGATGAAGCTACAAACAAAACTGAGTTAAATGGTTATAGTCTGCCATGAAGCGTACATCCATCTACAGTATACGGGTTAGAGTCTAGCTACATTTTCAGAAATCAAAAGTTTCTAATTTTGTCAGAAAGTCATTTTCATTGCAAGTTAAGCTAGTGAACGTTACATGTATGATCTGTATAGTAATATTATTTGAATCAGAAATCTATTTGCATTGCTGCGGCTGGCTTCCGGGTTAAGCGAGCAGTGCTGCTTGGCGGGGTCATGTTTTGGAGGACGCATGGCTCTCGACCTCCGCCTCTTCCGAGTCCGTTCGGGAGTTGCAGCGATGGGACAAGACTGTAACTACCAATTGGATATCACGAAATTGGGGAGAAAAAGGGGTAAAAATAACAAACAAATATCGATCCAGGTGTGCACTGTCAATAACACCCCATGACTTTGAGAAGCTCCGACACGACTTGCATCAAGCACACCCATCTCTTTAGTGGTGGTGAGATGAGAGAAATTATGCAGACTAATTTGCAATTGACTGTCATAGCCCCACATTAAAAGTATATCATGGTGAGTTGAGAATACAATCAGAAATACTGTTAAAATGTTTAGCAATTGACTGCAATATCCCCAAATAAAAAGTAAACATTGACTGTTAATTCCATTATTTTTTTTTTAAATGATTGGGGTCACAAAAATTAACAGATATGAAAATGGGGTCATTGGCCAAGTTTTCATGCTCATCAAACCATTCAGTAAACATCTGTGCCCTGTGGATGGGGGCATTGTCGTCCTATGAGGACATAGCCATGGTAGCCAAAATAATGGCCTGCCCAGCATTGTTATACATGACCCTAAGTGTAAAAATGCCCAGCTCATCTCCTTTCCAAGACCCCAACTTTAATTTGGTTTTCTCATTGAAATATGGTCACGCCAATCATCATAATTGTATTAGCTAATCAGCAACCTTTTTCCCAGGACTTAGCGTAATACCCGACCAGGCAGGGCCTCAGGCAGTCAGAAGTTTCCATTCTGATGACCACCAGGTTTTCCTCTCCTGCTTATACTACCTTTTTGATGTTTTATTGTGCATGCAGCTAAACACAACACAACAACACACCACTCCAACGAAGGACCACGAGCAGAGGGCACCGTGAGTGGAATTAATTACTCTCACAACAAGACCAGCAGCAGCTACCCTCCTGTACAAGATGAGAGAGAAACCCGTTCTTCTTCCAGAACAGTCGTAACGTGCCTGAAGCAGATAGGAGAGGAAACTGAGAAGTTGACACTGGAGATACTGGAGCTATCGGAAAAGCTAAATTCATCTGCTTCAATGGGTCCCCAAAAGTTCAAGTCACTACCCAGGCTGACCCGCAACAGTGAAGATGGAGCCTCACCTTCATCGGTTGCCAACTCAGCGCACCTCAACTAGATATTGTCATCAACAAAGTCAGCCTGAGCGGGCACAGCTGGTGACAACCAGAGATGATAAACTGCAGTCACAAAGGCAGCGTGACAAGATAGAGCAGCTCATTGACAACCTTCGGATCAGAGGGTTCTCTTTCTCAGACCAGTCATCCTCATCGTCATCATCTACTCGGTCAACCCCTCGCCATCGTGAGCCATCACACCAGCGAGACCGGTCACTTTTCATTGCAGAACTCATAGCCCTACAGCGCCACCTAGAGGGCTGACTTCACATGATCGCCAACTTCAGCCCTCACCTAATCGCTGTGGTCAGCCTACACCAGATTGCCGTCGTCAGCCCACACCTGACCATCGACGCCGCGACTACTCACCTGACCATTATGGTCAGCCTACACCTGATCGCCGTCGTCAGCCCGCACCTGACTGTCGCCGCCGTGACTACTCACCTGACCGTCACCGCCGTGACTACTCACCTGATCGTTGTCGGCACTCACCAGTCCGCTACCTCACACCTTCTCCACCCAGCCGGGAGCGCGTCTACCGTGAACCAACTCCTACTATCCCCAACTTCATCAATGAAGACCCACAAGAGTTTGCAAGGCTGAAGATGACAATGTGCTGCCTGTAGATGTTACAGAGTGCTTCAAGTTTCAGATATTGGTGGGCCACCTGCAGTTGGAAGAGGCTTTGCTAATTGCTGACTCCTACAGCAACAGCAGGTACCCATACAGTGACATCATGGAGTCCCTCACAGAACTGTATGGCCAGCCCCACCAGCTTGCCCTCCAACGCATCGCAGGGTTAATGGATGGCCCCAACATCAAGAGTGGTGACAACAAGGCATTCCGAAGATTCGCTTTGAGGGTGCGTGCCTTGGTTGGCATGTTGGATCAGCTAGGGAGTAATGGAAAGACAGAACTGAGGTGTGGCTAACATGTCTCCCGCCTCTTAGCTAAGTTACCACACGACTTAAGAGCCAGCTTCAAGAGATGTGTGAACCCCATCAAGACACCAATTCCAACCCTCCTTCACCTGGCAGAGTGGCTCGAGTACGAGGTGAGAGTGCAAGGAGATGGCACACAGTTCAGTAGCGACCAAAGCAGGGACCACCCTAGCTCACGCCGAGTTCAGCGTTAAGACAAATCATTCCTCAAGACCACCACCATCCTCCACTGAGGTGAGCAGAGAAAGGATGAAATCGAAGTCTCTTCACAGAACCAATTTCCGGAGGAAAGGTCACGGGAGAAGCCGAGGAAGTATTGTCCATTCTGCAACACCATGCAGCATTACATGAATCAATGCACCAACCAAGAGTACCAAGGTTGGTACATTCCCCATCATATGGCCCATCACAATGAGAAAAACAGGGTCATCTTCAACTGTTCCTTCAACTACAGAGGCAAGAGCTTGAATGAACAACTCTTTGCCGTACCTACATTGGGAGCTACTCTGCTTGGAGTCCTTCTCCATTTCTGGGAACACTTTGTGGCCATCAGCAGTGACATAAAAGGGATGTTCCATCAAGTCCGCATGCTACCGAAGACCAGCCTCTTCTCCAGTTTCTGTAGCGAGACCTAAACCGTGATGATTACCCTGAGTGGCAGGTTTTTCCCTTTGGGACAACATGTAGCCCCTGCTGCGCCACGTTTTCCCTTCAGAAGCATGTTTTCGACCACAGTGAGCCCGAAGAAGATGTGCGCTTCTCTGTAGAACGCTGTTTATATGTAGACAACTGTCTACAAAGCCTCCCCTCTGAGGATGAAGCCAAGAAACTGGTGGACAAGCTGAAGAACCTTCTTGCTGAGGGAGGATTCGATCTACGCCAGTGGGCCAGCAACCTTCAAGCAGTCATCGGACACCTACCTCAAGAGTTCAGGTCGGAGAGCAGTGAGCTGTGGTTTACCCAGGATGGCGTGGAACCCCAAGAGGGCACCCTTGGAAAATGAAGGCAATGTCTGTCTGATACTCTCGGCTACAACCACGGTCACATAGAGAAAGTTGAACCCACCATGCACAACATATATCAGATCCTTGCCAGCCAGTACGATCCACTCGGCTTCATCGTCCCATACACCACAGGGGCCAAGGTTGTGGTCCAGAGGCTCTGACGATATCACACATGGCAAGACGCTGTCTCAGCTTTCAGAACACAACCGTTGGAGTCAAGGTCCTCCATTCCTGTGGCAGGTCCAGTCATCCTGGCCGAGAAGACCAGACCAAGTACCTCCTGATGAAACAGAGGAGCTGCGGAAGCCTACCTTCTGTGGACTCCTGTCAGCGGACATCAAGTCGTCTATCCCTGATGTTGCCCAGTTCAACACTTTCCAGGAGCTGGTGGAAGGCACAGTGCAGTTGCTACATGGGGTGGCCAGTAGTGCCAACAGCCCTTCAGCTGACAATTTCAAGCAGGCAGAACTCAAAGTACTCAGACATGCTCAGTCTGAGAGCTTCCCAGAAGACCTCTCCCTACTTGAGGCAAGCAAGCCAGAGTCTCCGAGCAGCCGTCTGGTGACGCTGGTCCCAGAGTAAGACAACGACACCGGACTGATTCATGTTGGAGGTCGCCTTCGGAGGTGTGACCAGCTGTGCCCTGATGTTCTTCACCCAGTAGTTCTGAACCCAGGTCATCCGCTCACCAGGTTGCTGATCAAGAAATATGATGAGCAGCTGAGGCACCCGGCCCAGGGAGGGGGTTTGCTGAGTTACGACTGCAGGAAGTGGCAAGGCCAGCCTGATGTGCCTAGGATGGCTGACCTGCCTCCAGCATGACCGCGGCTCCACAAGCCTACATTCTATTCTACAGGCATGGACTGCATTGGACTGTATATCATCAAGATTGGCGGAAGAAAAGAGATGGGGCATCATCTTTAAGTGCATGACCACCTGGGTTGTACACGTGGATCTACTGACGAACATGGACTCCGATTCGTTCCTAATGGCGTTGAGACGCTTCATCGCTCAAAGAGGAAAGCCCTTTGAGATCCTGTCCGATCGAAGTACAAATTTCAAGGGAGGGGAGCGAGAGCTAGAGGAGGCCTGCATGACTCTTCACCAACAGCTCCAGGAACAGTTAGCCAGTCAGAAGATTCGCTTCGCCTTCAACCTACCAAGTGCACCACACTTTGGAGAATGCTGGGAGAGGGAGCTCAGATCCATCAAGACTGCCCTGCAAACCACCTTGGCGCACAGTCCATCTCCGAAGAGGTGCCGAGGACTGTCCTAATTGAAATAGAAGGGATCTTGAACTCCAAGCCCTTGGGATATGTGTCGTTGGACATCACAGATCTGGATCCAATCACTCCTAACTCTCTTCTCATGGGACGGCCAGACTCGTCCCTACCACAGGTGGTCTACCCAGAGTCTGAACTGCTCAGTTGCAAAAGATGGAGACACAGCCAGGTTCTAGCCGACCATTTCTGGCACTGCTTCACACGGAACTACTTACCTGCCCTTCAAACCCGCCATAAGTGGCACAAGGATAAGGAAGACCTTGTGGTTGTGATGGTTGTAGATGATCAGTCTCCTAGGGCACTCTGGCAAGTTGGAACTGTCAAGTCACTTATCCCTGGAGCAGACGGGAAAGTGAAGATCGAATTCAAGGACATAACCTACGTCAGGCCTGTTGCTTGACTCATCCAGCTGCCCGCCCTTCCTCAAGAAGCTACTGTCCAAGGTTTTTCTTTATTTTTACTATTTTTACAGATTCTTCAAATAGCCACCCTTTGTCTTGATGACAGCTTTAAACACTCTTGGCATTTTCGCAACCAGCTTCACCTGGAATGCTTTTCCAACGGTATTGAAGGAGTTCCCACATATGCTGAGCACTTGTTGGCTGCTTTTCCTTCACTCTGCGGTCCGACTCATCCCCAACCATCTCAACTGGGTTGAGGTCGGGGGATTGTGGAGGCCAGGTCATCTGATGCAGCACTCCATCACTCTCCTTCTCTGTAAAATAGCCCTTACTTAGCCTGAAGGTGTTTTGGGTCATTGTCCTGTTGGAAAACAAATGATAGTCCCACTAAGCCCAAACCAGATGGGATGGCGTATCACTGCAGAATGCTATGGTAGCCATGCTGGGTAAGTATGCCTTGAATTCTAAATAAATCACCGACAGTGTCCCCAGCAAAGCACCCCCACACCATCACACCTCCTCCTCCATGATTCACGGTGGGAACCACACATGCAGAGATCAACACCGACTGGCTGGTGTTGCCCGGATCTCCCCCATCTGATAGCGGAGTCGAAGGAGCACAGCATGAGGAGAAAGGCAATCAACGATGGTCGCATGGTCTACACTCCCAATGAGAGGCCCGGAGCAGATACAAACAACGAATAGTTACGCCGTACTGGAGCAGGGCTTCTCCATCTGTCGGAGGCCTGCACCAGACGCTGGGAGCAACGGGCTCAAGTTATCCTGCCTCTCGCCCATCCGTAAAGTGTTCTCCGAATCCTGTGAAGCGTGGGAGTGGCCGGATTTCCTCGTCCTTCTCACAAGCCGTGATTTTGGGCAGCTCCATGGTAAGAAATGTGACCGTTCCTGGTGCAAAATCAATGTCCTATCCCGGAGCGCGTGTAAATTACATTACATTACTAAGCTGCTTGCGAATGTACAACGTCAGGAGATGGAAATCGATTCTATCGTAGTCCATGTGGGTTTTAATGACATTATGTAGAGGAGCTCTGAACAGTTGAAACTTGATTTTAAAGAGCTGATTGACTCTCTGCTAGACACCAACAAAAAACCAATCATATCTGTTCTGAGTCGTGGCATTGAATGCTTTAGCAGGATACTTGCACTTCATAACTGGCTACGTCATTATTGCAGCTCAATGGGTGTAACTTCTGTTGACAATTTCGATACCTTTTGGAAACAAAACACGTTTTATAAGGAGGATGGGATCCACCCAAATCATTTGGGTTCCTGGATCCTTTCACAGCATTATAAGGCTGCGTTGAGACAATGACTTATTAATGACCCAAGCCCAGCTCAACTGTTGTCATAATGCTTCAGCAAATGTACATTACCCCAGTGGCGTCGGTAGACACAATATAAGTCACCTAATTTATGTCCCTCTAACTGCCCTGAATGCCTCTGCTGATCCTACAACTAATGTATAAGGTTGTAAGAACCAGATTTATACTGTTAGGACTGAGCCGGTGTGGCCTAGGATGAAGTCCACTGTTTGCAACTCACCCTGCACTAACATAAAGAACATGAACATATCTACTGCTGCTAAGCTTCCCAGTAAAGCAATAAAAACAAGTAAGCATCCCAGAAGAAAAGTGCTCAAAATAGCCCACGTTAAACATATGTAGCTTAAGAAACAAGGTTCATGAAATCAATAATTTGCTAGTAACAGATAACATTCATATTCTAACTATCTCTGAAACTCACTTAGATAATACATTTGATGATACAGTGGTAGCAATAGAAGGTTATAACATTTACAGAAAATATAGAAATGCCAATGGTGGAGGTGTTGCTGTATAATTTCAGAACCACATTCCTGTGAAGATTAGAGAGGATCTCATGTTAAATACTGTTAAATACAGGTTAATCTGCCTCACCTAAAGACAATTCTGGTGGGAAGCTGCTATAGACCACCAAGTGCTAACAGTCAGTATCTGGATAACATGTGTGAAATGCTTGATAATGTATGTGATATCAATAGAGAGGTATACTTTCTGGGTGATTTACAGTGGCTTGCGAAAGTATTCACCCCCCTTGGCATTTTTCCTATTTTGTTGCCTTACAACCTGGAATTAAAATGTATTTTTTGGGGGTTTGTATCATTTGATTTACACAACATGCCTACCATTATGAAGATGCAAAATATTTGTTAATTGTGAAACAAACAAGAAATAAGACAAAAAAACATAAAACTTGAGTGTGCATAACTATTCACCCCCCAAAGTCAATACTTTGTAGAGCCATCTTTTGCAGCAATTACAGTTGCAAGTCTCTTGGGGTATGTCTCTATAAGCTTGGCACATCTAGCCACTGGGATTTTTGCCCATTCTTCAAGGCAAAACTGCTCCAGCTCCTTCAAGTTCAATGGGTTCTGCTAGTGTACAGCAATCTTTAAGTCATACCACAGATTCTCAATTGGATTGAGGTCTGGGCTTTGACTAGGCCATTCCAAGACATTTAAATGTTTCCCCTTATACTAATAATATAATAATAATATGCCATTTAGCAGACGCTTTTATCCAAAGCGACTTACAGTCATGCGTGCATACATTTTTGTGTATGGGTGGTCCCGGGGATCGAACCCACTACCTTAGCGTTACAAGCGCCGTGCTCTACCAGCTGAGCTACAGAGGACCACATTATACCACTCGAGATCTGATTATACCACTCGAGTGTTGCTTTAGCAGTATGCTTAGGGTCATTGTCCTGCTGGAAGGTGAACCTCCGTCCCAGTCTCAAATCTCTGGAAGACTGAAACAGGTTTCCCTCAAGAATTTGTTTAACACTTTTTTGGTTACTACATGATTCCATATGTGCTATTTCATAGTTTTGATGTCTTCACTATTATTCTACAATGTAAAAAATAACTTGTAACTTTTTTACTCAAACCATCCGCAGGCTGGATTGGACTTGATCCGACCCGCAGGCCGTATGTTTGAAACCCCTACTTTGCAGTCTAGTCCTCCATACCTCTGTCTGCACCATGGCAGGTCTCTGGGTGCGTAGCGTCTTGACGGTCTGGAAGAGATCCACCACCCATTCGTACCTCATCCTCTCCAGCACGATACTCAGAGTGATGAAGACCCCGGTCCTGCCCACCCCGGCACTGAGAAAGAGGAACACAGACTTTAACACACACTTCATAGTCCCAGTAGGTATTACGTAATAAAAAGGAATTCCCTTAGACCACGTCCAGAAATGTGGAGAAATCAACATTCTTTCCTATTGACCCCCATTGTAAAAGAGGCAACTTCGTAGTAGATTTGTTGTTATACAGAAATAACAAAACATGCTGAAAAGCTGCTGTGTTGTTCAATGTACATGTCCGGTGGTTCCTCAATTAAAAGTTTTTAGATTATGCCGTGGGACATTGAGGTAAATTGTGGTATAGTACGTTACACTGCGTCACTGCTTCATTGCTCCAGACCACTGCAAGGGGGAGTTGGAGATCTGATTATGCTTTTGGGTACAGTTTAAAATGTTGGTCCCCAGGCGCTAATGTGTCTCTCTCCTCACTGAATGAATGACGTCAATGAATGGGTGATATAAACCAAATAGAAACTGATAATTGTGCACATGACTTCACAATTTAATTTGAATGAGGAAGATGAAGAAGAAGAGGGTGATTGAATTTTGAACAATAGTGTAAGAATTGCTCTTCCTCTGTCCCGCGCGCACACCTGAAAATATACACTTATTTTTTTGTTTCTACTTTGTCAGAAGAAGCTGTAACTGGACTGTAACCTATTACTTACTAAAACTGTTGTGGTGTTACACTATCAGGTTTTTACACTCTAGCAGTAGGCCTACATTGAGATAAATATCATAAAAGACAAAAACTTTCGGAGCATTTCATCCTCAAAGCGCCATTAAGGTCTGCTGCACCGTATGCATATTAACAATAGAATAGCCAGGACGCGATGAGTAGCCTACCAATAGCTGCCAGTCTAATAAATCAATTTCATATACACAATCACAAATAAATCCATTAATATTATGTTTAGGAAGGTCATAAAACACATGATTATTAAAACATTTTATTTCAAAAGAACATAATTGCATGTTTTAAGATGTATTTATCTGTGCTATAGTAGCTGAGGATAAAGCTGTGCCATGTCAATGAAATTAACTTGTTCATTTAGCAGACATCACACGCTTATATTCCCAAGCCCTACCACAGTCACACATATATTTTAAAATAAGAATATGATGGAATATAACAGAATAAAATAGAAAGGATATTTTCCCCAAATGGGTATTAGCTCATTGTCATCGGTAGGCATAGAGCTGTGGTTATACTAGGAAAACATTATATTTTGAAACAGAGAACATCTGTGGAATTCTTAGTGTTGTTTGGCACAACTAGGTTAATGAAAAACCTTGTAATATGCTCTTTCAGATAGGGTATAGCAATTAAAACGTCTGGCCTGCATGGACCTCATTAGGATTATTTGGAAAGTAAGCATGCACCAACAAGCTTCATAAAGACGCCCTTAAAGATGCATTAACGAATGAGCATTAACGGCAACAATGGCTGATAGTAAAATAATATGACTAGGTCCGTTTGTTTGTGTTGTTGCTCTTGGCTAGCTTAATGTTTTGGTTGGGAGCTATCTTGCACTCACTCACTCAAGTGGCTGCTAGCATCGTCATGAAAAGGGGCTTGAGGGAAGCCCTACAATATTATGTTAGGGAGCAGGCAATGTTGAAAAGTAATCTTTAGACATGTACTTTTCTTAAATGTAGTTTCGTAATTGACTAAATCAAGCACACAACAAGAGAATTGCATTTGAAAAAGCTAAAGTTTTTGCTATGAGCCAATGGGGTAACCTAGGTAACCACAGGTTGTTTTCCCCACAGGCGGGCAGGGTCGTGATGTTCTGTCTAATACCGATTGGGTCTATACACCTTGTATCTGCACACATATGAACACACACCTTGCCATACACAAAGATACACTGAAATGTGTAATGTGAAATGTGACAGGAATGGCTGGGTAGCTACATTAAATTTAGCAGTGAATACGACCCCAGGTGACAGGGCTTCATTTGCAAAGGGTGTGGATGGGGCAATATTAGTATTATTCCAATAAAGATTGATGTCCATTGAAGAGGATGTTATTATGGCTTCCCAAAAGATTGTAGGGCTTATTCTATTGGCTGTTCAGCCAAGGCTCCTTACCTGCAGTGAACAGTGATTGGTCCATCCTGTCCAAACTGCTCCTTGGTTTTATGCACTTGGCCAATGAAATCAATGAACCTTTCCCCGGTCTTTGGCACTCCTTGCTCTGGCCAATCAGTGAACTGGAATTGGCGGATCGTCCTGGATTGACCATCCTGAGGGAACCAATAGGAGGAGTATGTTAGAGAAGCAGTCGCTGAGTGGAATGGTATTGAATACATCAAACACATGGTTTACATTTGTTTGATGCCATTCCATTCGCTCCGCACCAGCCATTATTATGAGCCGTCCTCCCCTCAGCAGCCCTCCACTGATCTCTATAGAACATTAACTCCATTTTACATTTACATTTTGTCATTTAGCAGACACTCTTATCCAGAGCAACTTACAGTCAGTGCATTCAACTAAGGTAGGTAAAAACAACCACATTGCAAGTAAAACCTTCTTCAAAACAGGTGCTCTAACCCTCCCTCACTCACCCTTGCGTCAGTGACTTTGAACTCTCGTAGGATGTATTGGGGCATGTTGTACTCAGCCATGGGGTCCACTACAAAGTACTGGTATCTGGCTGAGCGCTCCGCAGGCCAGTACTGATGACATTTCTCCTGCAGAGGGACACACAACCAGGGTTAGAACAGGGTGTGTGTGTGTGCGTGCGCGCATCTTTGCGTGAGTGCGTACAATCTGTATGTGTACTGTATCTGTGTGTGTGTGTGTGTGTGTGTGTATGCATACGGTGTGATTGTGTGGTGTGTGTGTACCGTATCTGTGTGTGTGTGTGTGTGTGTGTGTGTATCTTACCCGTCCCATCTCCCTGATTTTGGTGAGCATGACCACTATGGTAGAGTTATGTTCCCAAAGCATCCTCCAGAAGTCTTCAGTGGTCTCAGACAGAGGGCCCTGAGTGGCCAGGTAGGCCTTCTGTTGTCTGGGGAGAGGAGAGAGAAACAGACTGTAAGAATACAGCTACACAGATAACAACTAACTTACAAAGTAGCCTTCTGTTGTCTGTGGAGAGACAGGAGAGAGAGAGACACACTCTGTTAGACTACCACTCTGTCAAAACCCCCTTCCTACTAACAATCATCTTTGAAACTAACTGTAAGTCGCTCTGGATAAGAGCATCTGCTAAATTACTAAAATGTCAAATGTAAGGTTATGTTTTCTGACTGACTTCAATTCTGGCAATGAACCTCTGCTCACTGTCTGTAGGTGGCAGTAGAGTGCCATGCAACACAGGGTACCATGCAACACGCACACGCATGCACGCACACACACAGAGAGAGGGGGGAAAGAGGTAGGGAGAGAGAGAGAAAGAGAGACACGGGTGAACAACTAATGAAGGTGCTGCAGGCTAGGCAATAATGTGGAACCAGGAGATTAGAGTGATGCTCTGGGCCCAGCTCCTCACACAAATAAAGAAATATAACAACAGAGCAGAGGAGAGGAGAAATATAAAAGGAAACTAGCAAGAGAGAGGAGTAAAATAGAGAGAGGATGGATGGGAAGAGGAGAGCAAGAGATGAGAAGAAAGAAAGAAAGAAGCACTCTTTATTCCTGCTGGTCATCAGAGAACATAGTAGGACATCCTCTTTTTCCTTCTCCACTGGGGTGTGAAAAGGAGAACAGAACACTGACCTCTCTGTCTGAGATTTACCACACGCACACACATACGCACACGCACACACGACTGCCTTGTGCCTAAGGTACAGTCCGATACCTCAGCCTAATGATGATGCCATCTCCCTGTCAAGAAGTGTAGCATAACCTGGATACACACACGCACACTTCATTAAAACACACCCTCTTGTTAGTGGGAGCAGTGGTCATTAAGCTATTTACACAGTGACGAAGCAGTCTGGGTCTCTAGGGAGCACCTTTCATTAACACTGATAAGGATGAGAAACAGGCTGTGTGTTAAAGTTTATGGGATGAATGGGAAGAGGAGGAAGAACCTGTGTGTCTGAGCCTCCCTCCCCATATGGACTGGATGACATATCACGCTCACAAACTCCCTCCTTGTCTATCTTCTGTCTGACTGCATTCTGCTATTTAACTTAATGTTACAACAATCTGCTCTCCTTTTCTCCTCCCTCTCTCCACCGTCAAAGTGATCAGCTGTCATCTCTTACCTCTCTTCACATCTCCTCTCTTATCTCTTTCCATCTCTCCACTGTGAGAGGCCTCATTTCATCCCTGTCCCTTCAAGAAGGCTCTTGGCCTTATTAGCTAATGGGGGCAAGTGATGACAGCCCAGCCCACCCTTGGACTGATCCAAACCCCTATTAACTAGCCTATGATTCCATAGACAATGCATAGAATGCCCTGTAGTTCTGCTCACTTACCTGTATCCGTCAATGCAGCTGGCGTTGATGTAGTCAGACCCCTCCACTCCTCTGATAGGCTGCAGGCACACGCGTGTCGACTCGAAGGGCATGATGTTCACCAGCCGGTTCTTGAACTTATTGCAGGGCAGGTTGGCACTGATGAACCTGGAGGTGTGGGCTTTGGAGTTAGCCAGTCTCTGTTAGAGAGGGAGGGAAGAGAGGAGGAGAAGAGAGAGATGTAGAAGAGGAGATGGTATCAGTCACATGTACTTAATATACGGTGATTAATTTGAGAGGGATAGTCCATATTACTTTCTCAGGGCAGGTGATTAAAAGCATGCAAAATGCCAGCACACGGAGCACTATATCTAATAGTAATAGGCTGGTACAGTATAGTATTGATGGGTGTAGTGGATACAGTATACTAGGTTTAGTCACAGCGACAGTACCCAGATCAGGCCAACATACATCAGAGCCCTGCTGTCCTCTCATGGGTGGGAGTGGTTAGGTGTGACATGACTGGCTCTGTGCTGGGCCTTGCAGCTCTCACACCACAGATTGACAGAACAGGACAGAGACCTGGCGTTGCTGTGTGTGTGGTGGCCAGACTGCCTGTTGGGCTGTAGCCCTACAATCACCATCACCCCCCTCTCTCCCTCTCTCTATTTCCCTCCATCTCTTCCCCTTTCTTCCTGCCCTCTGTCTCTCTACTTCTCCCCTCTCTCTCTCTCTCTCCCTCTCTCTATTTCCCTCCATCTCTTCCCCTTTCTTCCTGCCCTCTGTCTCTCTACTTCTCCCCTCTCTCTCTCTCTCTCTCTCCCTCTCTCTATTTCCCTCCATCTCTTCCCCTTTCTTCCTGCCCTCTGTCTCTCTACTTTTCCCCTCTCTCTCTCTCTCTCCCTCTCTCTATTTCCCTCCATCTCTTCCCCTTTCTTCCTGCCCTCTGTCTCTCTACTTCTCCCCTCTCTCTCTCTCTCTCTCTCTCTCTCTCTCTACTTCCACCTCTCTCGCTCTATCATTAGATGATAGATCACTGTAGATAATGTGGATGTGTAACGTTGGTCTCTTCATCTAGCTAGCAGGAAAGAGAGTAGACACCTGCTGTTTCCATTACTTACCATTACCCACACTTCAAACAGGACAAATAAGGTCATAAAGACACTAATTACAGAATGAACAAACGGGAGGCAGAGAGGAAACTACTAAACTGTCACTGTCCAATCACAGGGTGGAGAGAGGGTGGGGGACCAATGAGGTAACAGCTCGGCTCTCCAAGTAAGGAGTGTATATTTATGTTCTAGTTATGTAGATCTGTAGCAGCTGATTCAAAGAATCAATCATCAAGTCCTTGCGTGGTTGAATCAGGAGTGCTAGTTCTGAGATAGAACTAAAGAAATATACAGTAAGAAAGAAATATGCAGTAATTTGGGCACTTGAAGAACAGCTTGGAAGCACTGACTTAATTAGAGCATGTCCTAAGGGTTAGTTTGAGAATGGGTCATTATACAGTAGTTACCTTAAACTCCAGCTCCATGGCGGTGACGGTCTCCCCTGTGGGCGGCTGGGTGAGTTTCTGGATGTGTGCGGACAGGTTGCGTGCGGGGACCTCAGTGAGGCCACAGGTGGCAGCCTCTAGCAGGGCCTCGTGGATAAAGACGTACTGGTCCTCTGTCTGCACCATGTAGTTTCTCTGGGCTCTCATACACGTCACATGGCCATAGATATCCACTGACTTCTCATGCTTCATACGCTCCAGCATGGCCTCAATCACGATCAGGCAGCCTGTTCTACCCACGCCCGCACTGAGGGAAGAGGCGGGCGAAGAGATATAGGGAGGGAGGAGAAACGGACAGAGAGAGAGCGAGAGAGAGAGAGAAAGAGAGCAAAAGAGAGTGAGGAAGAGGGTTAATATTACTATACTGCATATCAAACATGCACTGAGGGAGGAGAGAGAAGGGGAAACGTTAGGTAGACCTAACTCAATTCAATTCAATAAAACGTTCTTAATCCCTGAGGGGCACCATCAGGGTTATTATACCTGTTACAGAGTGCGACGTTATTTTTAAGTTCTCAAACCACTTTTCTGCGGGTGTGCATCTTCAGACAACTCTATTACAATAGTAGTAACTGACAATAATAAATATTAACGTTACTGTGATTGCTAACCTGTTTCTTTTATCATAGCATTCTTCCATGACATTAATTCTGCCATTCTGTTAACACTGTTGCCTTACCTGTTTCACTATAGTAATCTACCAGCACACCTTTAACACTGCTGTTTAACCTACCTGCAATGTACCACCATGGGCCCAGCATCTGGAGGGTTGCAGGCTTTGACCCGTCGTAGGAAGGCCAGGATGGGGGTGGGGTACGCTGGTACCCCGTGGTCCGGCCACACCATGAACTGGAACTGGCGAATCTCACGCTTCTCACTGGAACCATTCTAGAAGAGAGACAGAGTCAACGAAGGGAACAAGAATGTCATGGTGTTTATAGTGTGTGTGTGTGTGTGTGTGTGTGTGTGTGTGTGTGTGTGTGTGTGTGTGTGTGTGTGTGTGTGTTTTGCAGCGGTAGAGGGGTTTGAACTGAAAAATTCAACCAACCATGAGATGTGAGTTAGTAGAATGAGAAATTGTGCAAATTGTGATTAAGGAGGAGTGCAACAGAATGGAGATAAGAGAAAAAGGAGATAAATACAAAATGGAGAGGATGAAACAGAGGTGCTTCCATATACAGTAAGTAAAGTGCAATGGAAGTTAACACTCACATACAGAACAGCACGCTAACACCCACCCACACACATATAGAGAGATTGAGAGAGAGCGAGATTAAGAAAGAGAAAGAGATCGAGAGAAACAGAGAGAGAGACAGAGAGAAAAGAGAAAGACAGAGAGGGATTGAAAGAGAGCTCAAGAGAGATAATCCTTACCTTGTACAGGGCGAAGGTACGTACGCTGTATGTAGCCAGCTCTACTGTATCCAGCATGGTCACCTGTATCATCCCGTACGTCTCTGTCCCTCTGACTGGCCAGTACTGGTCACACTTCACCTGGTAGAGGAAGGAAACAGTCAGTTACAACAGGAAGACAAATAGGATGGTCCAGAGTTTTACCTGCGCTAGAAAAGTCTTGAGGCTATATAATAGGTTATAATGAGGGTCCAGAGTCTTTCCTAGTCAGTTCATGTTGGTGTTGAAATTAGACATGGTAAATACTGTATGAAGCTTCTCAGTAACAATATTGCGCAATATCTCTCCAAAGCCACATGGCGTACCAGGTACCACTATCCCTCTGTGGAACAGGCTGAACATTCTGAACAGATCAACAAGCTGCGTTATCAACCCAGACGTTACGGTTATTTTCAATTAGCTAATTGCCGGCTGGATCATCAGTATCCTTTGTTTATGTTTGCCTCTACCCGCAATGTGTTGTTAGCTATCCAGACAGCTCTGTTCTGCAATGCAGGGATATGACATAATGTAATGTTTTCGAAAATGGCACCCTATGGACCAATAAGACTCTGGTCAAAAGTAGTGCACTATAGGGAATAGGGTGCCATTTGGGATGCATTGAATGTGATGTGTCTAATTCATCCAGACATGGCGACTAGTGGGGGACAGCTGGAGAGACCACCTGGACTCATCAGTCTGTGGACAAACCTTTCACTGAATCAGGCCTGATGGTAGAGGGGCCAGGGCTAATCACTAGGGCTAACGACTATATACCATGACAGATGCACACAGACCAGACCTGACACAACCCAAATTCACACCTGGGTTCAAATAGTATTTGTTTTCTTTTCAAATACTTTCAGCGTTTGATTGAGCTTACCTTGGAGTGCCAGATAGGCAGAGTTTGCACTTTTGGGAGTATTCAGTTTAGTTCCATTCTGACAGGCAAGCTCAATCAGTGGAGACTGCTGAGGGGAGGACAGCTCATAATAATGGCTGGAATGGAGTCAATGGAACGGTATCAAACACATCACAGACGTGGTTTCCATGTGGTTGATACCACTCCATTGACTCCATTCCAGCTATTATTCTGAGCCGTCATCTCCTCAGCAGCCGCCACTGAGCTCAATCAAGCACACGGCTAAAGGATTTTGAAAGAAAACAAATAATATTTGAACCCCAGGTCTGCTTTATACACCATGACATGACCGATTACAAGAACAGAAAGAAGACCAATCACGTACACTGACAGTCTGACACAGTCCACATTATTTTCAATGTGCTGTTCAATCTGTCCTCGGAATATAGCGAGCACAGACCAACCAGACAGACAGGGTCAGCATCCCAAATGGCACCCTGTTCCCTATAGAGTGCACTACTTTTGACCAGAGCCATACGGGCCCTGGTTTAAAGGTAGTGTAGTATACAGGGAATAGGATGCCATTTGGGACAGGCCCAGTGCATGCTGTTGACTAGCTCCAATCTCCATACAGTGCCTTGCAAAAGTATTCACCCCCTTGGCGTTTTTCCTATTTTGTTGCATTACAACTTGTAATTTAAATTGATTTTGGGGGGGTTTCTATCATTTGATTTACACAACATGCCTACCACTTTGAAGATGCAAAATATTTTTTATTGTGAAACAAACAAGAAATAAGACAAAAAAACAGAAAACTTCGGCGTGCATAACTATTCGCATACAGTGCATTCGGAAAGTATTTCTAAAATGCATTAAATTGTTGTTTTTTCCCCCTCATCAATCTACACAAAACACTGCGTTATGAGAAAGCAAAAACAGGTTGTTAAAAATTTCTACAAATGTATTACAAATAAAAAACGGAAATATCACATTTACATAAGTATTCAGACCCTTTACTCAGTACTTTGTTGAAGCACCTTCGGCAGTGATTACAGCCTCAAGTCTTCTTGGGTATGACGCTACAAGCTTGGCACACCTGTATTTGGGGAGTTTCTCCATCCCATTTATTTTGGAAAAACTCCCCAGTCTTTGCCAATGTCAAACATACCCGTATCATGTTGCAGCCACCACCTTGAAGATAAGGAGACAGTTACATAGTGGTGTGTTGTGTTGGATTTGCCCCAAACATAAGGCTTTGCATTTAGTATGACTTTAGTGCCTTGTTGCATACAGGATGCATGTTTTGGAATATTCTGCATATTTTTATTATTCTTTTCACTCTGTCATTTAGGTCATTATTAGTGTTCTAAGACTGGGAGATTAATTCACCTTTCAACAGGACAATAACCTACAACACAAGGCCAAATCTACACTGGAGTTGCTTACCAAGAAGACAGTGAATGTTCCTGAGTGGCCAAGGTACAGTTTTGACTTAAATCTATTGAAATTGCTCTCTAGCCATGATCCCCAACATCCTGACAGAACATGAATAATTTTGAAAAGAATAATGGGCAAATATTGCACAATCCAGGTGTGCAAAGCTCTTACAGACTTACCCAAGAAGACTCACAGCTGTAATCGATGCCAAACGTGTTTCTAGCATGCATTGACTCAGGGAGTTGAATACTTACGCAACAACTATATTTTAGTTATTTCATTTTAATTCATCTTAAAAGTGTTTTAGAATTTTTCATCCACTTTGACATTAGAGAGTATTGTTGTAGACTGTTGACAAAAAAATGACAATCAAATCCATTTTAATCCCACTTTGTAACACAATAAAATGTGAAGAAAGCCAAGGGGTCTGAATACTTTTGCAAGGCACTGTATCTCTATAGTGTCTACTCACTCTGGACTTCTCCTCCAATCGTGTCATCATGACTATAGTGTGAGCTCTCTGCTCCCACACCATCCTCCAGAAGTCACTGAGGGTTTCAGGAAGCGGGCCCTGAGTAGCGATGTAGGCGTTCTGCTTCCTGTAGCCGTCTATATAGTTGGCGTTGACGTAGTCGTTACCAGGAACAGCTAAGGGAGAGAAGAATGAGAAGGTATGAGATACAGTAAATGTATGTTTTTTTCATGATATAGTTTGGTAATTCAATAACTGCATGAATCTAAGAGTGTAGAGACTCCACCATAGAGATAAATACATTAGACATCAATAATTTACAGAGCAACTGAACACCTCAATCCTGAATAATGGCTGTAATAGGTCAAATAGCTGAAGGCCTCTGACCGTCGACAGATGTCAGGACAACTCTGGAGTGGTCATAAGCTATGACGTTAGCATAGCGGTTCTTTGGTTTGTTGACCTCCATGTTGGAATTCTCCCAGGTAAACTGCTGGGCAGGATCTATGGACTGATGGAGATAAGAGAGAGAGGAGAGAGAGTAGGAGAGTGGTTAAGAGTGTTGTGCCAGTAACCGAAAGGTCGCTGGTTCTAATCCCTGAGCCGACTAGGTGAAAAATCTGTCGATGTGCCCTTGACCAAGGCACTTAACCCTAATTGCTCCTGTAAGTCGCTCTGGATAAGAGTGTCTGCTAAATGACTAAAAATATAAATGTAAATGAGAAAAGGGAGGGAGAGAGAGAGAATGAGAGAGATTAAAGAAAGATCGAGATAGACAGATGGAGATTGAGATGGACAGAGCGAGAAAGTGAAAAAGACAGGGAAAGAGATATTAAATCCTCAGGCTATCACAGAGGGTAGGTAATACATCACCAGTCATTGCATTCCAACAGGGGGTTAAATAAAGGCTTCACAGGCAGTCAGGCTACAGGCTCCCAGCCTCTTCTCTTCCACTCCCCTGAGGGCGGCCATATTGAATTACTACCACTGCTAACTTCACAGTAATCAGCTAAAGGTTGCCATCTTACTTCTCTACCCCCTCTCTCTTTTGTTGTCTCCATCTCTCTCTCTCCTCCACCCCAACCTCTCTCTCTCCTCCATCCCCCACACCCTCTCTCTCTCCCCTCCCTCTCCTTTGCCTTCTCTCTTCATTCCCCCCTTCTACCTCTCTCTCTCTCCTCCCTCTCTCTGTCTTATCTCCCTTGTTCTCTCGCTCTCTCTCTCTGTCTTGCGTCCTGCAGCTCGTCGTGGCTGAGGGCTGAAGCGACGACACCAAATATGCGTCCCTATGGGCCCTGGTCAAAGGTAGAGCACTATATAGGGAATAGGATACCACTTGGGACGCAAACCAGGTCTTGGATTTGTATTGATCTTTGGGTGATACAGCAACAGCCTCTTTCCCCCCACTGCTTGATAATGTCAGAGTAGGACCAACACTCTGCTCTTTGTACCGCATTAGTCCATTAGGCTGCCTGTGTCTGCGTGTGTATGGTCTTTATTACCATCAAAATCTCCTGCAATAGAATCTCCACATTAACTTCCTCCTCCACAGTAAACAAAGCTAAACTGTTACAGAGGCATAAACAACCCTGTAGTGGGACATCATTTATATGATGTCCCACTACAGCCACCACATCATCAATTTGTCTGCCTGCCTGCCTGTTCGTGAAGAAACATTTATTTTGCAGTGAAAAAATGTCACAGGCGTTCTCCAGTTTTGAGAAAACAGCAAAGAGCGGGCATGCTAGACTGACGGTCTCTGGCAAACACTCAGGTAGAGTCGGGGGGAGAAGAGGAGAGAAAGCAAAGCGCCAAGCTGGCACATCTCTCTCGGACATGCCGGAGAGGAGAGTGTTCAATGCAGATAATGATAGAGCTATGAGAGCAGGCTAGACGGCAGCAGATCACTACCACAGGGCGAAAACAGCCTGTGATTGACAAACTATGCTCATTATAGCAAGAGTACCATATCCTGGATGACACAAGCACCAGCCTGCCAACAATCCCTAAACTCCTAGGGTACTCTACCTGGGAATTAGCCAGCCCAGAACTACAGATAGAGTATACTGAGCAAACTCTGAAATGTAGAATTCTAACACACATCATGTTGGCACCAAGAGAGTTCCATCCCATTACACAACAAATAAAAACTAGAATGTTATTGTTGAATGTTCGAAGGATAGTTGGCCCACAGACAACTAACCTCCTGCTCTTCCTATAGGCTTTCCTTTCTGAAAATATGCCACTTTAAATGCAAATGTCTAAATCTCCTATTTTTCTTTAGGAGGTAGAGAGACACTGACGGACGATAATTCCTCCATCTTACCTCGTACTCCTGTGAGAAGCGCAGGCCGTCATTGGCCTTGAGTCTCTCTATGTGGTCCGCCAGGTCACACACAGTAATGGAAGGGTGCTCCCTCATTCCTGATGAAAGAGGAGAGGATAAGGACAAAAGTTAGAGAGAAAAGTTAGACACTGCTGTGGGCAAATGGACACACACAGGTTGGCATTCACACAAACACCTACAGACATACTTGTTCGACCACAGGGATGGATGAGACTGCCAGTTCAACAATGCATGAAGAGGGAGAGAGGAAGAGAGCGAGAGAGAGAGCGAGAGAGGAGAGAGAGAGAGAGAGAGAGAGAGAGAGACGAGAGAGGAGAGGAGAGAGAGAGAGCGAGAGAGAGAGGAGGAGAGGAGAGAGAGAGAGAGAAGAGAGCGAGAGACGAGAGAGAGAGAGAGGAGAGAGAGAGAGGAGAGAGAGAGAGATAAAAAGGCTGGCTAGAGAGAGAGCTGAGAGCTGACACAGGTCTGTGACGTCGTCATGCTGGGCGTGGCAGACACGTGGTCATGAGGCAGTGATGACATCACATTATGAGTGACGACTGAGCATGCTCCATGTGGAAGTAGACATCTCCCGGACCGCAAAACGCTACTGTATGATGGTGGCAGTGGTGCACAATATACACACACAGTAAGTCAAGTACACTTGTAGACTCTGATCAAAAGTAGTGCACTAAATAGAGAATAGGGTGTCATTTTGGACATAGCCCAAATCTCTATTGGTGGCAGCGGTGGGATCCAGCAGAAAACGGCCAGAACTCCCTTACTTGCCTCAAGTCTCAACACATCAGTCACACTGTCACTTCGACCGGTCGGTCACCAGCTAACTTACTTTGCTTTAAAGTCAATTTCCCACAATAGATGGCCTTAAAGTGGTGCCAGGATTAAATCCTATGGGGGGGGGGGGGGGGGACGACACACTAAAAAACACACCCACATGGCGCTCTAGGGCTGCGTCCCAGATGGCACCCTATTCCCTATATAGTGCACTACTTTTGACCAGGGCTTCAGCCATTTGGGACACAGACCTAGATTCCTCATCGCCGGTTATTGGATGATTTATGGCTAATCTACCGACACAAATTCCCCGCGCCTCTGAACTTGGCAAGGCTCCCTCCGCGCTTAAATGGATTTCTGCTAACTTGCCTCATGCGTCACGCATTCCCACTGTAAGCAGTGCACGTAGTCTCCAAAGCTCCGAAGCCACAGAGAGATTCGTAAAACCTCATAAAGTGCCCTAACTTACACTGTTCCAAGTGCAATAGAAAATACACAGCATATCAAGTATATCGGTTCAAAGAAGATTACTTTATTGTCGACTAAAAATATATATTTTTACTATCACTAACACAGTTTAAGATGAATAGATACTGAATGTCAATTTTACATTTTACACATTGAAAAGATACGTTCAATTAGCATGTACATTATAACTCTGTACTTTACCATGAGTGTCATTAAGGCTAAGCTAGAGTTGATTGAGCATGCCTGGGAGGTTAATGGGGTCACTCTATTGGATGGTTTCCTGCTACAAGATCATTATAGCAGCAACACTGAACTCTAATGGCTGACTCAACACTGAGGATGTGTCCCAAATGGTACCCTATTCCCTATGTAGTGCACTACTTTTGACCCGAAACCTATGTGCACTATAAAGGGAAAAGGGTGCCATTTGGAAAAAGCATGTGTTAGCAAGGAGGCCTACAAACCTGACTCAGTTACACCAGCTCTGTCAGGAGGAATGGGCAAAAATTCACCCAACTTATTGTGGGAAGCTTGTGGAAGGCTACCCGAAACGCTTGACCCAAGTTAAACAATTTAAAGGCTATACTACCAAATACTAATTGAGTGTATGTAAACTTCTGACCCACTGGGAATGTAATGAAAGAAATAAAAGCTGAAATAAATCATTCTCTCTACAATTATTCTGACATGTCACATTCTTCAAATAAAGTGGTGATCCTAACTGAACTAAGACAGGGAATTTTTACTAGGATTAAATGTCAGGAATTGTGAAAAACTGAGTTGAAATGTATTTGGCTAAGGTGTATGTAAACTTCCGACTTCAACTGTACGTGTTGGAGGTCTTCGTCGTGTATCTCGGTTGGACCCAGGACTTCGTGGGAAGGGGTCGATTGGGCCTTCTCTTTTGGATGGCCTTTTAGATGTAAGGCTCAGATTGTCCACAAGAGGTCACAATGTCCTTGTTCTTAGTTGTCTGTTTACTTTCACTCGTTCTGGAAGTGGTCTTCTGAGGACGCTAATCAGTCGTGTCGATGATCCCCTGTGGGGTGATGAGAGCTGTGTAGTAGACGATGGTTTGAAGAGAGTAACAGGATGGTTCCACTTAAATTCACCTTCTTAGTTACAGTACTTAGAACAGCTACTCAGCCATAACATTGATTGTTAGTGGAGGCAACTTTGTCGTCTTCACCTCGTGTTGATTTTCAGGGTCAGGACCAATATGGACAAAAGCTGCAGCTTGAGGTTCGTCTAGTCTGATCAGATCTGATCATTCTTATCTCAATCTTTTATGCACTCTGGTAAAGAGGGGCATTTCCGTCATACTGACATGCTCGCTGAGCTCCCTCGGGCGTGGCTAGTTACGAGGCAAAAGTATTATCATCACTCTGATTTCGTTAGAAAGCTAAAATCCCATTCCTATCTTCACGAAAACATTGTCTTCCTCCTTGATATTTTCTACACAAAGTAAAGGATGTAAGCCTGATATACACAGTGTAAAAGCTCTTCAAGTCACAATGTTTTCATTATAACGCCTTTATACAATTTTTAATGACATCACAAAATAGACATTAATTTTCCATATTCCATTTCTCATCATTCCCAACATTTGGATGTTGAAATATATTGTCCCAATGTTCATTGTTCAAGTTTTGGGGTTGCAAAAAGTATCTGAAACAAAGGCATTCCTTTCACCATACTAGAATGCCAGAGATAGATTCTCCTCCTCTCTAAAGGTTGTTGTCGGCCATTTGCCAAGTTGATGTGAGGCCTTTGATCCTCACCCAGGGATAGTCATGACACTCCCATATCTATTAGGTTAAATACCACAGTGTGCCATCACAGCAGCAATATGTCACAAACGAGACTCCCGCTGTTCCTCCTGCTCACCACCAGAGGGAACCCTCTCCTGAGTATTAAACCCCTGAACTACATTTCCCACATACCTGGCTCTGATTACCGTTGCACCTGACTCCCATCAGTAGACTATTTAGGTGCTCTCAAACTCTCTCTCTTTGCGAAGTCTTGTTTACCCTGGTGATCATTCCTGAGCGTTTTCGCCTGTGTCTGTCTACCCGTGGATTTACTCTGGACTGTTTTTCCCTCCTTGATTCTTTGCTGCCTGCCCTGGACTATATTCTTTACTGGACTGATTTTTGTAAGTTTGCTGCCTGCTCTGACCTTATGCCTGTACCTGGATTACGAGTTGCCTTATCCCTACTGTTGTGTCTGCTGGCGATTGACCCTGTTTGTACGACCAAGATTGTAATAAAACTGCAAATGGATCCTCACTCTCCTGGAGCGTCATTACAGAAGACTTCGCCAACACACGATCCAGCAGCTCTGGTTCAGATGTCCACGGAGATCTCCACTCAAGCTCACCAACTCGCCATTCATCAACAGCAGCTAACCCATTTAACTACAGTAACAGAGGAACTCGTCAGGACGCTACAGAGGTTGCCGGTGTCGCTAACGAACCCAGCCCCTCCTCCACCGAACGCGAGTGTGGGCGCTTCTCCACCACCGTCACTCACAGTTAACCCACGTCTGGCTCTCCCTGATAAGTTCGACGGCAACCCAACTAAAAGTAAGGGATTTCTACTGCAATGTTCATTATTCATTGATCAACAACCAGCTATGTATGTCACCGATGCCAGCAAGATTTCCTTGGTATGCTCACTCCTCGCTGACAAGGCGTTAGAGTGGGTGACGGCGGTTTGGAGAGAGGATGGCACTGCTTTTCCATCGTTTGGTACCTTTCTTCAACGCTTCCGGGAAATATTTGAACACCCGGAGGGAGGTATGAGAGCTGATGACCGACTACTTGCGTTGAGCCAGGGCAGGAATACCGCAGCAGAATATGCTTTGACATTTCGCACTCTAGCAGCTCAAACCGACTGGGTGGAGAGCACACTTAAACTGCTCTTTCGCAAGGGACTCAGCTTGGAGTTGCAATCCGAACTGGCCTGCCGAGATGAAGGGAAATCGCTGAATCAATTCATCGAACTAACCATTCAGATTGACAATCTGATTCGTTCACGTCGTCCACTCAGAACGGTACCCACCAGCACACAATACCCGGTCACTCTGTCTCAAACTGAACCCATGCAGCTCGGATATACTCACCTGACTCCGGAAGAACGAGAACGCCGCATACGTCAACATCTCTGCCTCCATTGTGGTCAACCGGGCCATCTGAGGGCGTTTTGCCCCACAAGACCACCTCCTCGTAATCCCTCTTCGGTGAGTCCTTGTGTTCAAGCACATCATTCCAGTTCTTGCATCAAAGTACCTATAGTATTATCTCTAGAGGGCAATCATATATCCACATCAGCTCTAGTAGACTCAGGAGCAGCCGGGAACTTTATGTCTCACGAGTTTGCCCAACAACAACAACTCCCATTAATCTCCTGTAACTCTCAATTGGCAGTGGAGGCGCTAGATGGACGGCCTCTCGGCGATGGGAGGGTCCTGCACACCACCGTGGACCTTCAACTACAGACCGGTACCCTTCACACTGAGGTAATTCATTTCTACGTCATCTCATCACCTCATAACCCGGTTATTCTTGGACTCCCCTGGCTACGTCAACATAATCCCCTCATCTCATGGAGGGAGGGTCGTATCATCAAATGGGACCCGTCATGTCACTCCAACTGCTTAACTGGCAGCCCTTCACTCTCCATTCAGACCGTCACGCTAAAGGACGAGCCGGCCCTTTTCCCCACTCTTCCCATTGAATACTCTGACCTCATCGAAGCTTTTAGCAAGACCAAGGCGATGGAACTCCCCCCCCACCGATCAAGCGACTGTTCCATCGAACTATTACCAGGCACAA